GCGTAACCGGACGGGCCAACTGAACAACGATTCTCTTACGCTCACTGGCACCCAATCTGCAAATCCCACTTCGACAGGAGATGATCGTATCCAGGATCTTGTGTCAACCGTTCGACAACGTGATTCTATCATCGCCGAGTTGCAGCTACAAATGCAGCGTATTCAAGAACAGATGAATAGATTGACAGTAACGGGATAAATAAATCATCCACGGAAAACCTTTGTCTCAAGAATTCATTGAGCAGAGGACATGGTGCAATTGGAGGATGGTTATGATTGATTTCCTTCCATTTTCCTATATTTGTTTACAATTTGTCATCTTTTATTTAAATTATAACAGGTTTGAGATCAGATTGTGTCTTTCGTTACAGAATCGTTTAGTTGTGGGCAACAGGCAGTCCATATAGAGTCGTCCACTCACAAACATCGCGTTGAATAGTAGTGTTACTGAAGGTCTACAGCCAACATATATTAATGAATCGCCCACCTGAAGAGACAGAATGAATGATGTCAATACCTAGCTGTTAATCGATCCATTGATGGAGTAACAATGCTGTTCCATTGACACTTGAAGAATTGTCTGTTGGCATATCGACAACTCAAATAGAGTTGTCCTATCGCAAACATTACTTTGATGAGTAATACTGCTCTAGATCTACAGAAAGGCTATAGAAGAACCCTTAGCCTACTTGAGCTCCTAGATAACTGAATATACCGCCTTCCACCCATTTACTGGTGAGACTGAAAGTCGCATGGGAAGGAGATGCGAGGTCGGGGAACTAGGGGTCAGCGGGAAGACGGGAGCTCCTGTACGTAATCATCTGTACTTGTTATGTGGGCGAGCAGGTTGCAGAAACTCTGTACCTGTCCCCGTCCTCTGCCGTTCTTGCCGAACTTTGAAGCCGAAGAGTTAGGCTCGTCCGGTCTCCGATGCTAGTCACTAATGAGGGATTTGACCGGACGCTGGACGTTAAACAGTAAGAGAAGTATTTCCATGCACTGTGGTGAGTTCTTGAGCCATCCGCCGCAATTGCTCATAGGCCCAACGGTCCGACCCTGTTGTTCTGGTCGTGGTGATCACGGACTAAGGGCTGACTGGGTGGGGGATCCATCTTTGCTAGCCGCCCAAGACATCGCCCAGATAGGGTCGACTGCCTGAACCTGACACTAGGTCCGTAGCCAGCAACACGGACACGTGTCATGTACCATTTTGAGATGCGTTCTATTTTGGCCGCCCAATCCGTGCGCCCGTTCTAGCACGACACGGGGAGGGCAATTGCTGAGACCCGAGGCTTCCCACGGAGTCAATTACAGCGAAAGGAGCCTTCCGTTTTCTTGATGTCGACAAGAGTCGATTGCCTCCTAGAGATATGAGAAGGCACCATTGACGCGACCGTATGAATGCGGTCCTTGGGGGGACACGTGCAGCCTTGTCGTACCTCGCCACCAAATGTAGGTCCCGCCCACAAGCCGCGTAGTGCCCAGGTCGAGTACGTATCAACGTAGTGTCGGGGAATTGACTTCTTGTCAGTAGCTATGCCGCTTCGAGAGAAGTTATCTCTGCTGAAGGTCAACCATACATGAGAGGAACGGTGTGAATAGAGGTCGGGAGCCAGCTCGAACCTGCCACATTTTTTTGTGCCAAGCTTGCAAAACACCGGAGCATTGACGTGCAGCTGGGGGCGCTGACTACGGCATTCCACAACTCTCAATGTACCAAAACCCATTCCCGAAACACATTCTTCTCCACTACGTTTTACTCCTTTCGGTGATTTTGGGTAGGGTTTCCCAGTATCGCCCGAAATAGCAAGTTACCTTCACAGTCACTTGGTTACCACTCCCTTTGGTGATAAGCTGATCTCCGCCCTTCAGCACCTCGACTACCCTGGGTTCGTGATAGGCTTCGATTCCCTGATGTGGCCTTGGCATGGTGATCAACCGAATAGCATGCTGAGCGCATTCGCTGAATCACAGCTTGTGGCTACTAACTGAACTAAGTCTGAAGCAGAGGCCTCATCTCCATGCAAGGCTGCATCAGTGTTTGGCGTAGGGCCCTGGCTGCATACCTATGCCTAGCGCTCGCCCGATCAGATGTGTATTTCCCCCACTAGCTGGCGCCCTGCCACGGCGTCGTCCTCCGCAGCCTACTGACTGCCATGGTACTATACTTGAGTTTTAGCCCACGGTCTGCGATGTAAGAAGTCCAAGTTTCAGCCAAATCGGCTGTATATTACCGCACCTGCTGGGGTCCATCGTGTAGGAGCTTACAAGCTCAAACCCTAGAGCAAAGGTTTGGGTAGGTTAGCCAACTCGAGATTGAAACTTCGCATGAGCCCTTCTAGAGCGACCAGGGTCTGTCGGGCCGGTATACCATGAACTTAAGTCCAATAACCCACAAGCCACACCCGGCTCTGATCTAGATTGGATTAATGCTTAATAGAGGCATACAATCATTCCACCATTAGCAATGCTAGCGACATGAAAGCTCAGCACTGCAAGGTGGCGACCTGTTCTATCGATGTGCATATTGCAATAGAACCACCGGATACTATTCGAGCAGCCGAAAGGCAAGGCTGAGGATCGTAACTGGGCCACTTGGAAGTCTAAAAGATGTCGATCCGCCACAAGCTCCAACAATATTCCCCACAGCGGCAGCGAAGTGCGCTGTGCTTCGCAGCCGCCACAATCCGGACCTGCCACCCGGACGGTACAAATGGACATTTATTGGAGAGTTACCCAGATTTTCAAGTCCCAAAGCTGCGCCAAAAGGGCCCGAAATGGTCAAAGCAACTCGGCTAACCCGAGTCTACTGTAGGTGATGAATGGCGGGAAGGTAAATATTCCATGATGGTCCATTGTCAACTTCAGGTCTGTGATCACTTTTAGCAAACATTCAGCTCCTCGTTAGCGATGGTACACAGCCGACAAATCAATACTATTTAAACCGTTCGTTACAACTAGGACTAAAGCATATCCAAGTTTTCAACCTGTACAAATTTGAGCTGGTCCCGAAAAAAAAAATCACTATGTTACAAAGGACATACCACATCCTGGCAGATCATGGGCCAACGAGCGCTGAGCAAGTCAGACTATGGGTTCAATCGCTTATAGCGCTCTTGGTTGCGAGGCTCATCTACCGAATCTTGATTTATCCAGGGTTCGTCTCCCCATTAAGGCATCTACCCGGTCCCAAGGTAAGATACTAATTAAGTTTCAACCCGGAGCCGCAGGGCTGACCTTCCAAGAACAATCATTATCTGCTCGGACAGCTGGTGAACCAGTACCGCGCCTCAACGCCAACACAGCTTTTCCAACAGTGGTCATCTCAATGGCCAGATAGTCCCTTCATTCGTTTCAAAGGGCTTGCTAACTCCGACATGCTGTTGGTGAACACCATCGAAGCTCATAGGCAAGTCTTGCAGACGTGTTGCTATGATTTCCAAAAGCCAGGGTTTTTCGCTCGTCTCGTCGGTGAGATTGCCGGGGCCGGGCTTCTCTTTGCCGAGGCAGACGATCACAAGCGCCAGAGGAGGTTTGTACAAAGTGTGTCGGCCTTCAAATTCCATCAGAGATGAGACTTTTCTGCTGACATCGACTTGTAATCTAGACGTCTTCACGCCGCCAAATCTTCGGAAGCTATTTCCAGTCTTTCAGTGTAAAGCGAAGGAGCTCACTACGTATCTATCGTCGTTCCTCGAAAGAAGCGGAGAACACGAAATTGAAGTGTGTGCGAATGAGTTCATCAGTCTATGGTTCCCAAGGCTTGTGTGGTCACGACAAGTCCAGTCGGTTTTCACGAAAGCGACGCTAGATATCATTGGGGTGACGACACTTGGCGTTGAATTGGAGAACCTTCGAACTCCAGACGTGAAGCTCGACTTTCTCTCGTGTTACAACCGGATGATGGAGCAGTCAAAATGGAGTGCACTGATTAGTTTTATCAATGTGCAGGTACCCATCCGCCGGTGGGTTCCCCTGGAAGCAAACCGGGGCTTTGTGCGGGCCAGCAACGCAGTGCGGGAGATACTCAAGGAGTGCATCCGCGAACGAATGCAGGCGATGCTGAAACACCACGATTTAGGCCAGCGGGAGACTGTTCCTCGAGATCTGTTGAGCTACTTGATAGGAGAGCGGATCTCGAGTAAGAGCGAATTGTCCAACGAACAAATCCTGGGGCATGTGAGTGCGATCCTATGTTCTGGAGTAAATGGATGCCTGGCTAATCGATGCAAGCTTATGAACTTTCTTTCTGCTGGTAAGCTAAATGATCCCTCACTTGCCATCCTTGTAGATAACCTCTCAAGGCCATGAGACAACAGCAGGGGCGATGACTTGGGCCGTATATGTTCTAGCCACCAACCAAGAGATACAAGATCACTTGTATGCCGAAATCAGGGAACTTCGTTCCAACAATCCGGCCCAAGACTACACAACCGTGGATCGGCTTCCTTATCTCCATAATTTCGTGCGTGAATTACTTCGGCTCTACAGTCCAGGTTCGTCAATTATCCGTCGCGTGTCATGCTGATTCAATAGCTTACTCGTTCTGGCCAGCTGTCTTCACC